AATCCGTGCCAGGTGCAGGGTCTGCTGGCTGGGTGCTGGCAGGCTTGCACCTGGCACGGGCACCGTAGCGTGCCCCTTTAAAGGGTCCGGGGCCGGGAGGGGGGCATAGAGTTTCCCTGGTGTTGGCCAGAATGGCCACCAGGGAAACCTGGGGAGGGCTAGCCTCCCACTAGTTCGAATTAAGGGGCTACACACCCCTTAATTCGAACTAGTAAGTTCGAACTAGGCTTAATCCTCGTAAAATGAGGTTTTCCTAGTTCGAACTAAGCGCTCCGCTAGTTCGATTCAAATTCGAACTAGCGGAGCGCTAGTGTAGCGGCTATGAATGTTAGTTCGAACTAACGTCCGTTAGTTCGAACTAACATTGTAGTGTAGACATACCCTAGTTTATAATGACTAGGGACTGGCCAGTGCCACAATGTTCAGATCTGGAGCTGAACATTCTCCAAATGTCAATGTGTTTTTTTTTAGCTTAGCCCATTTTTAAGATAGAAGCATCCACAACATTTGCACCTTCACCTGGAACTGCAGTTCAAATGCTCATAGCTGTTTTGACCAAGACCTTGAGGTTGTTCTGTTATAGAGAAAAGAGGCAGCTGCAAAATTTGGATTGGCAGCCAAATCTGGATTCTGACTTGGTTCAAACTTATCTGTAATAATCATTCTTTTTCCTGTAGAGTTGCTCGTGAACACTGTGGCTCCAGAAGTCTTTTCCAAGAAGGAGAGGAGAATCAGAAAGAGTACGGGAGCATTTGCTTTATGGAAGCAATATAATTAATAGTTGGATTTTGCTAGGGAGTGTTGAACATACTAGACTTTACAGTACTCTTTTAGATTGGTTAACTCTGAAATTCAAGAAAGGCAGGACTGTAAGTAAAGCACTAGACTGGGATTTATAGGTTCAATTCCTGGCTGTGCTACCGATTTTCTGACCAATTTGGGACAAGTCAGTTGCTCAGCTGATGCGCTCTTGCATTTGGTGGAGCTGCGTGGATTTACTCCAGCCAAGAATCTTGTTTTTTCATCCTAAATTCCTCATCTGGAAAATTCCTCCTATCCTTTGTCTTTTATGTTTGTTCTGCAAGCCCTTTGGGATGGGGATTTTATGTGTTGTATAGTGCCTAACTCAAAGAGCCCTCATCTCACATAAGGTCTTGAGGCATTACTGTAAATATAAATAATAATACCACTTCTGTGAATAACACTAACTGTCTGCTTTGCTTATCCTTTTCCTACATTCACACATATACATGCACAATCCATAGAGGTGCTACTAGTCTGTCTATTCCACAACAGGACAGAAAAACAGATTGAGGAGAAAACTCCCCTTCCTTACCTGTTCATATACAGGATTGTTCATGTTAGCTCTATAGTTGTCATTGCAAAATTTCTACTGTTTGAAAACAATTATCCCTTAAAATGATCACGCATCAGTCAGTTGACATAATGCAGCAGGAGCCAGGGACTCTGCTCTCTGCAGATATCAGACCCATAACCCAGCACAGAAGCTTCTGTGGTTAAAAAGCAAACCGCAAGTAAAAGCCTATGCTGAATATTTTGCAGAGCTTGCTTCAAATTAAACCTAAAGGAAATTTTCTATATTCAGTGAGCTGCCATTGATTCATACTTCCCATTATAATCTTTAGATGATCTTATGTCCTCACAAAAGGCCTTCTCCTAGTCTTTTAGGGTATGTCTAAACAGCAAAGTTATTTCGAAATAACAGCCATCATTTTGAAATAACTTTACTAACATCTACCCAGCCAAATTGCTATTTTGAAATTAATTCGAAATAGCGGAGCGCTTCTTTTGAATTTGGTAAACCTCATTCCATGAGGAATAACACCAAATTCAAAATAACTATTTCAAAATAAGTGCTGTGTAGTCCTGAGCTCTGAGCTTCCCCTTCCTCTTCTTTCCCTTGCTCCCCTCTTCCAACTACCTCCTCCCAGGTTCCCCCACACATACATGTATTTTCATGAACACAGACTCTCTTTATTTATTTGACATCAGGAAAGGGGGTTAGGGAGGAGTAAGTGGAAGGACTTGAGGGAGGAATGAGGCACAAGCCCCCAGTGGGGCAGACCAGGGAGGCTCTTAGTATCCAGGAGGCCCTGTGGGGGAGCTTCCACCCTGAGTAGCACTGTCAGCCCCCCCGATGGACCTCCCAGATGGCAGCCTGAAGAAAGTGCAGCCAGGCTCACAGCAACGTGTCCATGAGAAGCACCAGAGTGCCCATGGGCAGCTCTGGCTCCATGTTGCAGAGTGCTGTGATGTCCCAAGTGAGGGCAACCAGCGCATGCAGAGTCAAAATGCTTTGTTGTCCCTCATCAAGGTAGGCAAGCAAGCAGGGAAAGCTGTGAACTGGCTGTCCAGGGGGAGTCCCTTTAAGCCCAGGCCTCAGATAGCCTTAGGCAGCAGCCATACAAAGTAACTCCTGACCTGATGCCCTGCTGGACTTGGTGCCGGCCAGCCTTCAGAAAAGGGATGCAAATTAGATGTATCGCGATTGCTAATGAAGCGGGGATTTAAATCTCCCCCGTTTCATTAGCATAAAAATGGATCTTTCGGAAAATAAAGCCTTTTCTGAAAGATCCCTTATTCCTTATTTTAAGAGAGATAAGGGATCTTTCAGAAAAGGCTTTATTTTCCGAAAGATCCGCGTCTAGACTGGTGCTTTTTTCCGGCATAGCTCCGTGCCGAAAAAAAGTGGCAGCCATTTTTATGCTAATGAAGAGGGAGAGATTTAAATCCCTGCTTCATTAGCAATCGCGATACTTCTAATTTGCATCCCTTTTCCGAAAAAGGGATGCAATCTAGATGTAGCCCTGGAGTTTTTGCTTATAGTATGCAACTTCACCAGAACGTTAAAATATTTAGCATATATTATTGGGGTGTCACTGTTATGCAGGGATGGTCAACATCTGCAGAGTAACACAGCACTTAATCTGTCGTGTGCTGCAACCGTCATATATATCTAGGACTTAACTTTTTCCTGAGGAGTGAGTGCCTTAGGTTTCACTAGTTTGTCAAGACACATGGCACACGCTCATAGCACTAACTTTTCTGAATATACTCCAGATGTTTAAAGGCAGTATGGTAGTTAAAACATTCATCACAAGCCTTGCATGTAATTGGAACTAAAGAGTGACCTGGGAGCATTTTTTGAGTATTTTAATTGTGTTTTTATTTGTATGTCAGTTCAAACGAAAGCTGCACTACATGAAACTTAAGATCAAAGCCCCTTAGTTCTCTGGACATGATAAATTAAGGTGAACTTTATTATGTCAGAAAGGCCTAATAAAACAACAGACCCAAGTAAGTTTGATGGGCCTTAATTTTCTAGGCTGGGCCTTGTGACCCGACACAGTGAACTTACTACTTGTACATAACTGCAGTCAGAATATAGGTTCTAAAAGTTGACAGAAGTTAGTGAGGTTTTAGATGTACTTTTTCGTACTTTGACAGCTTAGAATTGTGATGGGAGGAGGCTGCCAAGGTTTTGTAGTGCAATTAAGTGACAAGCAAACTTTAAAGGGATTTACAGTCAGGCTATAAGTTGAAAACCAGGTTCACGTCTGGATTTAGATTTGATTTCAATGGTATGCCTTCCTGTTTGCCTGCCCCTGAGCTTTGGCTACTCCTGCACAGACACTGAAATTAAATTATAAACTTTAAGTTCTATAAAAAGGCATATTCACAACAAAAATGGTTTTCACAGGACTCTAAAGACTTTCTTTGTTATCTTTTAAATAAAGTAACTTTCCATATTTGTGACTTTTCTCCCTAATCTCATGATGGGATTGTCACTCCTTTTTGTTATCTTCACTGTTGTGTATTCAAGTTTGTATTCCTTACATTTACAATTCTTCATTTATGTGTTTTGTTTCATTTTTTGTTGTGTCTTTGCCTTTTGCGTCATGTTCCTATTCTATTTTCCATTTCTCTTTGGGTCTGTTACTCATTTAACAGCTTTTCTTTTTCCTACTCCTTCAGTTCTTCCTTTCTATCTCCATTTCAAAGCTTGGCAGATACAAACTTCTTTATTCCAGGTTCTCCGTCCATATCTGCTCTTTTTTTTCTTTTGACCCGTTCAGACTTTGATTTTACTGCTTAGCTGATCAACACATGGGATTCAAAGAAGAAAAGAAAAAAGCAGAGCTATGTAAAGCGGAGCACTTTCCTGTGATTGAAGGGCTTATTTCACAGAAGAAATGGTTTGTTTTCAATAATATATTTGTCTGATCTCCATTTAGAACCTATTTCCTCTTACATTCTTTCTAATTAATAACCATTTTAATAGTCATACATACCACTGTACGAGTCTTAGGTAGTCTCTTCCAACACCCACTGATTAAAAGCTTTTGGCTTTGATTCAAACAAGTCATCTCTTCTTTACATGAAAAGAGAAATGAATAGTATATAAATAACCATGCCATTACTTATTGAAACAGGAAAGTCATCCTCCCTGGATAAAAACGAACGGTCTACACTGGCCGCTTGAATTTGCGCAAGAGCACTGACGTTCTAATGTAAGAATTCAGCGCTTCTTGCACAAATACTTTGATGCTCCCGCTCAGGGATAAGCCCTCTTGAGCAAGAAAACTCCGATGGCCATTTTAGCCATTGGGCTTTCTTGCGCAAGAAATTTAAGGTGCCTGTCTACACTGGCACAAGAATACTTGCGCAAGAGGGCCGGTGTAGACAGGCACCTTAAATTTCTTGCGCAAGAAAGCCCAATGGCTAAAATGGCCATCGGAGTTTTCTTGCTCAAGAGGGCTTATCCCTGAGCGGGAGCATCAAAGTATTTGTGCAAGAAGCGCTGAATTCTTACATTAGAACGTCAGTGCTCTTGCGCAAATTCAAGCGGCCAGTGTAGACCGTTCTTGCCAATCTAGACACACCCTCAAAGTCTGGAAAAAGTAATACTTTCCTGAAGTAAAGGGATTGGATCTGTGGCACAGCACTGCAAGTTTGTGTGTTTAAGACAAATGCATCAAATATTTTGAGAGTCACTAAAAGCAAAATAATGTCAAGTGCACATGGGATCCCACAGAGAGGCTTGTATAATGCTTACTGAACCTCAGATTATAGTTCTGTGAATTTACTTTAAAAAAAAAGTCTTACTGCACTTGGGTGACTCTGCCCCTTTGCTCTTAACCTCGTTTAGAATTAGAGCTTGTCAAAATTACAACTGTAATTGAGTCAGGGGACTGTGTTCCCATTTGATTGTCCTCCAAAGCCATTACAACATGCTTTCAAAGTTACAGAGTAGATAGGCACTAACTGTGTTTCCACAGCAGGATCTAGTTAAGATGTTCTGGTAGGTCCCAGCTCCACTGCAGCTCATAAACCATGTTGTACTTGCATTAAGGGCCAGGCTGTTTGGAACCGAGTCCCTTGATACAATTATATTTGTCATGTAGACAGTCTTCCTAGGCTAGAACTCAAGCTCTATCTGACTGCAGCTAGAGCAACCTGACATGCTGCATCTCCTGTGAAGGATTTTTTGTACTTATTTTAATATCATTAAAAAATTGGTTTGCTTCCTATGTCTTCTCTATTTCCCAAACATAAATACACAACATTCTAACTAAAGGGAGAATAAATGTCCTCGTTCGATATTAGGCTCCTTGACTCTGAACTGGAGAAATTCTGGCCTGGCTACACTCCAGTGGTAGAAAGCATACTTCAGAGAGTGGGAGACTCAGGCTACATCTAGACTGCAGGCTTCTTTCGGAAGAGATCTTCTGAAAAAACTTCTTCTAAGAGAGCGCATTCACATACAAAAGTGCATCGAAAAAGCAATGCGCTTTTTTGAAAGAGAGCATCCAGACTGATTGGATGCTCTCTCTCATAAAAGGCCACCCAGAATCACTTCAGCTAGGGCTTTAGGTCACCAATTGCTTCCAAGTGCTGGTGCCATAGCCTTGCAGAGACACGCACTTAAATCCCCCGCCCTCCCCCAGACAGCCATTTCTTTGCTTCCTCTGCATACTTGCTATCTCTTCAAGGGACAGCAAAGCTCTCACAGTGCCTGCTGTGGTTGCCCTGCTTTTTTTGGATGCCACAGCTTTTCTCTTGGTGCCATGGAGCTGGAGCTGCCCCTGAGCATGCAATGGCCCCACACAGCCATCCTGCAATTTTTTCAACACTTTGTGACCTGCTTCTCCAGAGGGATGGTGGGCCACGGGTGGGTGCTGCATCATCAGCGGGTGGGGGCGAGCCAGGGTCAGAGCTCTAAAAAGGTGGCCTTCCATTTGTGGAAGATTTGGAGCCACTGCTGGTCATCCCACTGTTCCATGATGAGCTGGTCCCACCAATCCAAACTGCTGTTGAGCCTCCAGAAACGCCTCTCCACAGTAGGTTGCAGTTCCCAGAGTGTAGCTCCCGCACCCAGGGAGAGGGTCCCCAGAATGAGCTCAGGGTCGAGCTTGGTCAGGACCAGGAAGGCAGCTGGCACAATCGCCATCTGGAAGCTCACCACCCCTAACAGCTACCAGTTGGTGAGCAACCAGTTTGGCATGGGGAAGTCCACCATCAGGGCCCTCCTCTTGGAGGTAAGGCACTCTCAGGCTGCAGTCCCTGCAGGAGGAGGAAGTCTTGGAAATGGGGTCCCTAGGGAATGGGGGGTTGGAGGCTGTAGGGGTGGAGTGGGAATGGGGACAAGCCCTGTCCCCAGGGGGTTGTGCCTTCCCACCCTCACGGGGGGGGGGGGTCAGCCTCATAGGGGGTCTCCTGGGGTGCTTGTGGGAGAGGAGGGTGGGCACTTCCCAAAGGTTCAAGCACTCCCTCTCTCATTCTCTATTTTGTGTGCTTGTTTGTCTCCTTCTGCAGGTGGTGAGGGCCATCAATTCCATCCTGCTGCGCAGGGTCATCTGCCTGGGAGACCTGGACCCAGTTGTGTCTGGATTTGCCACCCTGGGGTTCCCGAACTGCACTGGAGCCATAGATATAATGCATGGACATGTTTGTTGGGTGGTCAGGCAGGGCACACGATTCTCATGTCTTTAGAAACTCTAGCCTGTATGGAAAGCCGGGGTGGGCATATTCTTCCCCCACCGTGACTTTGTGATTGGGGACATGCAGATGCCATTGTGCATTGTGGGGGGATGTGGTCTACCCCCTGATGCTATAGCTAATGAAGCCATATACCAGATACCTGGATCCCAGCAGGGACCAATTTAATGCCCACCTGAACTGGCCCCAGGAGAAGGAGCATGGGCATCACCTGAGGAGGAAGCAGAGGCATCTCATGGGGGACAGACAGAGGGGGAATGGGCATAACTGGGGAGAGAGGGGGTGGAAGCCAGGAGCAGTGACAGCAGGCACTTGTGCCATCATGCATGACATGATGGCATACATGTTATCACACCGCTGTACGAGCTGGTCCCAGGTGTGGTTTCGCCACACAGAGTCCTCGTGGACCTTCTATGCCAGGTTCTGCTGCATGTCACGCAGGACGCTGACATGCTGGCGCATGAGGTCTGGGATACAAGGCCTAGGAGATGTCCTGGGTCACAAGCAACAGCTCCAGAAACAGGGTCACAGTCTCTGTCTCCTCCTCTTTCTCCAGCTGGCCCTGGTACTCCTGCTCCTCCTCAGCTGTGACCTCCAGCTGGGCAACAGGTGGGGAAGATGTTTCCGCACCCTCACAGGATCTGTTGCAGCTTGTCAAAGTAGGGGCAGGTGTGGGGTCTTTCCCCTGAATGTCAGCTGAGCTCTCTAGCCCAGATATATCCCAGGCAGAGCTCCTTGACCTTACTCCAAACCTGTTCCAAGGTTTGGGGTGGGTGTCCACACTCCGCCAGGGACTCGGCCATGTGCTCAAATATTTTGGTGTTGTGCTGCTTGAAGCGGAGATCATGCAAGGTCTCCTTGCCCTACAACTTGAGGAGGGACAGGATCTTTGCTCTGAACCAGGAGGATGCCCACATCATGGGACCCTTGGGGTTGCTCCCTGAAAGGTCCAGGAGGGATGCGGAGGGGGAGGAATGCGGGGGGGGAGGGAGAAGGGAGGGCTTGAGGCTGAGCCATGAGCGGCAAGGCCTGTGGCAGGGAGACCCATGTGGGGAGGTGCTGCTCTCAGGCCACCTTCCTGCCACAAGGCTTGTCTAGGGTGCCTGCAGCTTTAAGAGGGGCCAGGAAACAGGAACTATAGAGTCCTGATTAATTTGGATGGTGTCCCCATCAGGGCACCTGTGTTATTTCCTGAAGACCTCTTCTTTCAAAACAAAAAAAACCCCAAAAATACCCACTTCCTTCCCATCCACACACACCTTTTTCTGAAAAAGCTCCTGCATAAAAAGGCTTCTTCCTCATAGAAAGAGGATTACTAGTGCCAGAAAAAAACCCCGTTCTTTCAATTTGCATTCAGAAGAACGCGATTGCAGTGTGGATGTAATGCAGGTTTTGTCAGAAAAATGGCCTTTTTCTGACAAAACTCTGTAGTGTAGACATACCCTCAGTGGCATGAAAAATCCACCAACATCTTCTCCGGCAAACCTAACCAGCAGTGTCTAAGGGAGGGAAGTGACCAATGCAGCTTTTTAGCAGCCTCCACTGACATGACTTCTCTGCATCTTACAATAAAGACCCTTTACATATGTGGATAGCCTGAGTAATGGTTAATGTTAATGTTGCTGAGGTGGTAATTAGGATTGTGTGTTATAAAATGAGGGAGATTATTATATTGTTCTTTATCCTTATTCCTTGTGGGTATGTCTACACTAGAAAGTTAGTTCGAACTAACGGACGTTAGTTCGAACTAACTTTCCTATTTGCTACACTAGCGCTTCGCTAGTTCGAATTTGAATCGAACTAGCGGAGCGCTTAGTTCGAACTAGGTAAACCTCATTTTACGAGGACTAACGCCTAGTTCGAACTAGCTAGTTCGAACTAAGGGCTGTGTAGCCCTTTAGTTCGAACTAGTGGGAGGCTAGCCCTCCCCAGGTTTCCCTGGTGGCCACTCTGGCCAACACCAGGGAAACTCTATGCCCCCCTCCCGGCCCCGGACCCCTTAAAGGGGCACGGGCTGGCTACGGTGCCCGTGCCAGGTGCAAGCCTGCCAGCACCCAGCTAGCAGACCCTGCACCCTCTCCCCAGGCCCAGGCTGGCGGCTCCCGGGAGCTTGCCCAGGACCGCAAGAAGTGGGCACCTTCCTGGGCTAGTGCAGACATAATGGACCTTGTCCACGATCTCTGCACTAGGCACAGGAAAGTGGCCGTCTAGGGCAGGAGAGCTGCCAGCCTGGCCACCCAGGACCAGGTGTGCATGAAAATCAAGGGGGTCCACTGAGACCCCCGACCCTGAGCCCTGAGCTTACAATGGCCGTCCTGGGTCAGACCAAAGGTCCATCTAGCCCAGTAGCCTGTCTGCCAACAGCG